GAAGCACTAAACGGCAAAGCAGACACTCTTGGACAGACGAGGAACTGAATCTTCTTTCGTACCTTCGGCACCTTCGTCGCTGGCGCTTTACACAAATCCAGAAGTCATACTCGACTATATCGAGAACAAGGCAATTGAGGAAGAACATAGGAAGGGGCAATTGAGCAAACAACCAACAGAGGCGCAAGCGCTTCCTGCTCTCGCTATAATCCGAGGGCCAGGTGACAAGAAAGTCATACCGTCATCCGACGGAACGACATGTCGAATCGAGATCGATAACGTCCCATATTGCTCCCTCTGCCGGAAACCATATCATGTGGACTCTGAGTGCTTCAGCAAGAACCCCAGACCGATGGATCAAAAGAAACACGGAAAGAGTCACAAGTCAAAACCAGGCAATTCACATACAGGCGCACGCAAGCCGTTGAAGCGGCGGCCCACCTCGGATGACGAAGATGATGATGTCGGTGGCCCAAGGGATCCAAAGAAGCCCACCTTCATGGCGACAAAGGTCTCCGGAGAAGATGTTAATAAAGCATTTGGAAAGGACGTTGAAGGCAACTTCGCCCTATTCGACCACATCCCCACATTGATGGCTACAAAAACCCTATCGATCCGTGACGCATGGATCGTCGATAGTGGATGTGCTCAGCACGTCTGCAATAACGCCTCGAGATTTGTAAAGATGGACAAGTACCATGGACCACCACTGAGAAGCGTCGATACCTCCACGACTCCCTCGGGAGTGGGGACAGCCAATGTTCTGTGCAATGTACGAGGCAGAAGGAAATGGCTTGTGCTTGACAATGTCCTCTACGTCCCATCGGCACATGCAAACCTCATATCGGTGCTCCAGCTTCTCAAACGAGGAGCAAAAGTCGAATTCTCAAGCCAAAGTGCTAGTATTCGCAACAAGTCAAACGCAAAGAACCTATACACTGCCAGCCAATATCATGGAGTCTACGCACTTGATCTATGGACGAATCTCACCTTTCCCTCTTACCATGTCGGTCCACAAATGGCTCTTTGGCATAATCGGCTGGCTCACCTGAGCGATGCGAACCTACATCGGCTTAAGAAGCAGGCCTTCGGCATCCGGGACATGGAACCACGTCAACCATGCAACCCATGCCTCCAGGGACGAATGATTGAAAAGCCCCACAAACGCTCGAGACGAAGCAGACGAGGGGAACATGCAATGGAACTTCTCCATATTGATGTCGCAGGACCATTTGACGAGGGCCTTGACGGCAGTCGCTATTGGCTCACCGTCGTCGACGACTTCACGGGGTGGATAGAGATTATCACTATACCACGACGACAAGAATTTGTCATAGAGTCACTACGTTTCTTCCTCGATCATAACGAACGCCCTGAACGGAAGTGCAGACGAATACGCCTCGACCGAATCCCTGAGCAAGTGGGAGAAGAGATGAAGTTCATACTGTTCTCACGGGCAATCCATGCCGAGGTCACAGGGGTTGATCAACACCAGCAGAATGGGGTTGCCGAGAGAGCCCATAAGACAATTTATGATCGGGTTGGACCTACGCTAGCACATGCGAGACTACCACCTAAATTCTGGCCGGAAATTGCTCGAACCGCAGCCTTCCTCTCCAACCGGTCGCCGTCATCAAAGCTCAACATGACTCCGTATCAAGCCTGGTACGGCGACAAGCCGGACCTATCACGACTCAGAGTGATCGGATCCAAAGGGGAATACTTGATCCCACCCAAGCAGAGGAAGAAGCTCACAGAGCCAAGAACCAGGCCATGCATTCTACTAGGCTATGAGGGAGATACCAACTACCGTATCCTGCTGGAAGACGGAAGAATCGTTGGGACCCCAAACGCTGAATTTCACGAAGTCCTTACAGCTCCTTCCACACAGACTATAGAAGATGTGGGAGCCAGACGAGACGGCTCACCTGGGGCAACGGCTGCTGCCGCAGGGGGGAGTAAGACGGTGGGACTAATAAATCAACCGTCGGTAGGCATACGGCAAGCGTCCGTGCCCGCCTCTGGGCGCCAGTTGTCGATGGCACCACCAGAGCGAGCCCTACCTAAGTCGAGGAACGATATCTCGCACATACTGCCTCGATCGAGTAACGATAACTCGCGAGTGCTAACCCAGTCGAGTGACGAGGACTCGCAGACACCAGCGTCGTCTCAATCGAGTGACGATGACTCGCAGCCATCTGTTGCTGTACAGGGAGACAGGACCTTGTCGCCTACACGGAGTGATGATACCTTTGGATCATTTGTAGGTGATTTACAAGACATCATCCAGAGGAATGACTCACCACCCGGCGGCGACCAGCAACAAGACGACGCTCAACAAGGTCTAGTTTCAGGAGAATGGCAACGATCTCCAGAACTCCAAATTGACCGCCCAGTTCATGAAGTGCGACAAGAAGCACTGGCGCACCACCCTGAACTCAGAATTCGCGCTCCGCACGTCACACTAAACACATCTAGTGACAGCGAAGAAGAGCTTGCGTTAATGAATATACCTGAAGAGAACGTCATCCCAACATTCTTAACAGTAGCTGCAAAGGAAACAGAACCTTTTGAGCCAAAGACTCTGCATCAAGCCAAGAACGACGCAAGCTGGCTCCAATGGGAAAGAGCAATGCTTGAAGAAGTGAACTCGCTCAACCAAAACAAAACGTGGGAGCTTGTTGACCCTCCCAAAGATCGGCGGATCCTCAGTGGAAAATGGGTCTTCAAACTCAAACGAGGACCGCATGGCGAAGTCATCCGTCACAAGAGCCGATGGGTAGTGAGAGGCTTTACACAAGAAGAGGGTATTGACTATGACGAAACCTTTGCCTCGGTCGTCAAGCCAATGAGCTATAAAGCTCTATTCGCAATCGCGGCGGCCCTAGATTTAGAGATCGAGCAAATGGATGTCAAAACGGCGTTCCTGTACGGCTACATAGATCATGAGATCTACGTCGAACAACCTCACCACATGACCGACGGCACATCAAGGGTCTGCAAGCTTCGAAAAGCACTCTATGGCCTAAAACAAGCTCCTCGGATCTGGTATCAGACCCTTACAAATTTCCTACGGAATCTTGGTTTCGAGCCAATTAGCTCTGATCTTGGGGTCTTCGTCCGGAGCAATATGTACATCGCGGTGTACGTCGATGACCTCCTGATCGTAGGACCGAGCATTGCAGAAATAAAGAAGATCAAGCGGAGCCTCAGAAACCGTTTTCAAATGACAGATCTCGGACCGTGTAGCTACTACCTCGGGATGTGCGCCCAGCGGGACCGTCAAAACAGGACACTGTACCTAAGTCAAGAAGCATATATTGACAAGATCGCTCATCAGTTCGAAATCAGCAACAGCGCTCCCATCAGCACGCCGATAGAAACCTCGCCACTTCCAGAGAATAGTCCAGAATACAGATGCCCTCCAGATCAAAGAACCACCTACCAACGCATTGTCGGATCTCTGATGTATATTATGCTTGGAACCAGGGGGGATGTCGCATATGCTGTCTCCATGGCGAGCAGGTATCTAGCAAATCCTGGACCACAACACATGAAACTAGCTCGACGCATCCTGCGATATCTCAACGGCACAAAATGCCTCAGGCTCACGTACAAGGGTCATCCCCAGATGCTGAAAGGCTTTACAGACGCAGACTGGGGTGGATGTCGCGACACTAGACGTTCAACAGCTGGATACCTTTTCAATATCGGGAGTGGAGCAATCAGTTGGCAGTCGAAGCGCCAAAGCGTCGTTGCCCTCTCGACCTGTGAAGCTGAATTCTTAGGCCAGACACAAGCAACCAAGGAAGCAATCTGGTTGAGAAGACTTCTCAATGAGTTAAACATGAGACAAGGAAAAACCGCCACGATCATTTTTGGTGACAACCAAGGAGCCATCGCCCTGTCCTCGAACCCGCAATACCATTCCCGCACGAAGCATATGGAAATCCAACGCAAGTGGCAAGGAGAGGTTCAAGACCTTGGAACAGTGGAGCTGAAATACATTCCAACTACCGAGCAAATTGCTGATGGGTTCACGAAGCCTCTTGCGCGAGAACGATTTGAATGGTTTCGCAGAGGGCTTGGCATTGAATGACACCTCGCCGCTTCCAGATCTCGGGCAGAGGCCGTTCGGGTACCCTTTCCTTCCTTTTCCTTTGAAAGGTTTTTTGAAGGTTTTACTGGGGCCCGTCCCAACCGTGATGGATGGTCGCTGGCACTCTTGGTGGTGGTTGCCATCGAGTGGGAGTGTTGAGTATCACGGTGGCTGAACCTGATGGCAGGGATTAGGAACAGATATATATGAGACATCCCGCCCCTGTTAAAGATAACTCCTTAAGTCAATCAAAGTCAATCAGACAATCACTTATCTCAACAGGCCTTGCGAATACGAATATTCGTAGAGGTTTGTGTACTACGAATGCGAATGCGAATATCTCAAAATGTTACGAATATGTATTCGTGCCGACCCCTACTAAATTAATTTTAGAGTACCTATTTCCATTCTTATCGAGCATGGGCAGGATTACCGTCAAAAGATCCTGCGGGTTACCTCGCTATCAGTGAATACCGTCTGACAAACCACTCTACCTCTAGACTCTCACCGCCCGTGCAACAACCCTGACCTACCAATAGCGTAAACCGAGCAGAAGGTTAGATTCAAGTCTGCACATTGTAGGGTGGATAAACGTACAAGCAAACTACAATGGAGAAGTAACAAATCGAATGCGACAGAAATATTATCGACCGCATTTATAACTATATTCAGGGGAGATACGAGTAAACTACATCTTTTGTTAGAGCCCCGAACTTCTTCACTATACATGGCGCGGAATATATGGTGAGCTGTAGCTTGAAGTATGACATCTTTCCGTTCATCGCATAGTCTGCCTTCCGCAAGAGAATGTGGTGCAAGTAGAGCCAATTTGAGAAGAGTTGTATGGTGCCGGACGCTGAAAGAATGAAATCCAACAAAGCAAGAACAGCCTGTGTATGGTTCAAGGCCAAGTGCAAAAGTTGCCTTGCTCATTCAAGTGACCTTCAAGGTAGAGCGCAATTCTACAGTTGGAAGCTGCTTCAATCGCCCTTCTCACATCACTAGCACATTTTGCACGAGTGTCTCCGTAGAGACGCTTGACTACCTGTTCGTGTCCATTCCGAGCTGCTTTGCATAACGCTGTGTCCCCAAATTTATCGGTAGCGGTAACATTCAGTCCACTTTCTTCCAGCAAGAGATTGATGATAGCCAAATGGCCATGGTAAGCGGCCAAGGAAAGTGCCGTGTCTCCCATATAAGTTTTCAGATTGATGTCGGGTGGTGTTGTGTGTTCAAGGAGTAGCATTGTAATTTCCGGGTGGCCCATCTCAGAGGCAACACAGAGAGGCGAGCTGTTCCAAAACTGCTGATTGATGTCGATGGTATCACAGGAAAGCAATCGGCGTACAACTTCCAGATGACCTTTTTTGGCAGCATGAAACAGTGGAGGGGCCTGTTGCACATTCACTTGTATATCTTCTCTTACGAGTAAGAGTTCCACCATGCGTACATCACCGTTGGAAGCAGCGTAGGTAAGAGGAGCCCATCCATGGTCATCACGAACGTTGGGATCGAGATTTTCAGTGCCGAGAAGGACACATGCGACCGGTATGTTGCCCGTTTTCGCTGCATGATGAAGAGCTGTCCTGCTAGTTTGACCGGCCAGGTTGACGTCCACATGATCTTCTGCTAGAACCTGTAGAGCTATAGCCGTGTGTTTTGCGTCGGCAGCCAAGCAGAGTGCTGTGGCTCCATTCAAATCTAGGGCATTGATGTCCACAGCATCATAGGCTAAAAAAAGCCTTATGATCGATTTCTTGCCATATTCTGCTGCGATGTGGAGGGCACTCCGACCGTATGTGTCTCTTGCGTTGGAATCTAAGCCGCATTTGTCCAGCAGGCACTTGGCTACCGACGTGCATCCATACTCTGCTGCGATGTGGAGAGCGGTGCAGGAGTGTCTGTCCGTTGCATTGATAGAGGTCTCTTCAAAGGCGAGCAATTGTTGGACTATCCCGCTATCGCTATTTTCTGTGGCTTGGTGCAACAGGGTCCGGCCATCTCTATTTCTAGAATTGGGATCTGCGCCATGGGCGGTCAGTAGCGCGACGAAATCTTAAAGGCTTGCCCGTACCGCCTGGCAGAGCAGACGGTTTCTGATAGTGACATTCTCCAGCAGGGTCATTCGTAAATTTGAATCCGAATGGAGAAGTAACAGTCGAGTAATTCTCGGAGCTTTCTTGGCAACAGCAAGCCTGAATGGTGAAAATTGTTTGTAATTTGGCGTTCGTATATCACTACCCCTTTCCAGAAGGACTTGCACCAGGCTCTCATCGTAGCGAGCGATGGCGTACCAAATAGCAGACCGTTTCTTGACATCCCTTATATTCAGACTTAGATCAAAATCTAGTAAAAGTGATGCAGTAGACAGTCGATTCCTTGCAATGGCGTATACCAGTGGTGTCTGCCTGCGGTGGTCTTGCCAATTGATATTCGCTCTCTGTTCAAACAGAAGCGTGCGAATCATCGTCTCGTTCTTAGTGAGAATTGCATAAAAGATTGGGGTGCGATATTTATCGTCTGTGGTGTTGGCATCCGCTCGATAGTTGCGCAACATCATCTCCACAAACTTCGAGTCGCCTCGAATAACGCCCCAAAACAAGGCAGAGCTGCGTTGGCGTCGGACATTGAACTTGAACAAATACTTCAGCAAGAGAGCATTTGTTGCTTGATTGAGACAAGCCAGCATAAGCAAATCTCTAGATCGATCTAGCTTGTCTGCTATGCAAAGAATAATCTCAGGGGGAAAATCGAGGAGAAGCATCTATACGCTACGTTAGTATCAAGGCACGTATCAAGTCGTGCAGTATCAGGGACCGGGCATATTCACATTGGGGTAATGCGTGTGGAGTTGGTGCGGCGGGTGATTTTAATGGAAGAATGAGAGGCGGAAGATAGTTCTTTACTGTCCTATATTCTTTCGAACCCCAGACGCAGGATGATGTTGATTCCCGCGTGGTACGAAGTATCGGGGAAAATCAAGGAATGGTGCAGGCTCCTGGGAGAGGGGAGTTTTATACCCGACCCTTCCTATGGAATCCTTGTCTTCACTATCCAACTAGGTGGTGGTGTGTTGAAAATATAATGATCCCTAGTCGCCGATAGATGTTAAGGGCCTACTTCCCGGCATGGAAGTCAAGCTCTAAGGCTCAAGTACGAGTTCCTATAGGCCCCTTCTTTGAGTTCAAAGAGTTCCACAAGCTTTCAGGAGAAAAAAGCTCCCAGGATCACGATTAATACTTCTAGCACTGGTGGCGTCGTCAACAGGAACGTGACTGATTTCTTGATAGCGATGGTAGAAAGGTAAGTGCGATCTTTCCGGATCCCGCTTTCTCGTGAGCCACTGTATGGAATTATTTGAAAATTATAATTTTTTGAATTTAATACAGTATATCATCGATCCACGGTCCCGAAAAACGAGTGCGGTCTCTTGTGGGTGACTGAGCAGATTAGCTTGTAGAATCTCCATCAACCTCTAGGTCTGCTGCCTTTCCATAATCTTGCATGAAGTATTCTTAAATTGGATTCGTTGCCACTAGAACTTATTGGTATATCCTCATGGAAGATAAGCTTGTATATTAAATAGAAAAATTGATGGAGTAGGGCGATAAATGATTATACCTCTAGACATCGATATGCTTCCTGGTGGGGTTTACCGGCATCCTACGCGTTAACACTCCACGATGTTTACCTAACTCTCAATTTCAATTACGATGACACGGAATAAAGAAATGATTCTGGGACTTTAGCAGAGTGGTGAATGGGAGCTGGTGAGGTGTTGAAAGGTAGCCTCAAAATTCAGCCCCAGAAACGGCAAGGAATATTGGTCAGATCCCATTTCTAAGCCAATGTCAATTGGGTTGGTACATTTCCAGCGGCATTTTGAGCCCCAATAATCGGCCATATTTGCAAATTGGTGGTCTGATGTGCCTTGTCTTCAGTCAGAAAACTGGCTGATTCCTACGGTGTGTTGGCGAGGGTGATGGCTGATGATGTTGACTCGTCGGTGTGGTGAACCCCTGTGGCCAATTTTTGCTCCACACGCTTCCTTGCGGCTACCAGTTGCTACAATGAATCTTTGGAGCAAGTTGAACACAGCTTGATTGTACCAGCCTCCAATTTCTGCGTATAATGGTGAATATGCCTAGAAACATTACCGCAACAAAACAACAGCCACCCACCACACGCCTCAAAAAATTTATTTGCTTGCTCACTTTTTCACCACCTCCATCATTTCGCTGGCTCGATTCATCAACGGATTCGTGCTTTATAATGAAGTGGATATAAAATACGAGGCAATGCCCCGTGCAAAGCCGCGCTCTTTCATCTTGCTAGACCAGACGAGCGATACTGAGACTGCCAGCTTCTTTCAAGATAGCGTCTTTATCTCCCTGCCGTTCGTTTCATCAAAGCACTTATTGACGTAATGCATCTATCTCTATTTGCACTCCCTGCCATCCTCTACGCGCAGCACTCTGCTGCTAGCACTCTGGGCATTGTTGATGTTGGGGACCAATGCATGATATGGTCAAATGGCAACCATGGCTGCACGGGTTATTCGAGTCCATTTGCCCTGCCAAATGAAGAAGATTGTTCAAGTAAGAGCCCTCATATTATCATTTTATGATCGGTCGGCTGACGAATCTCTAGAATTGGGCGGAGCAGTCAATGGCACCAGCCGCGACTTGCCAATGGTGTCCGTCGAGGCATGTAGTACAGCAGAGGGTCTGCCAGCGGTGTGGATCCTTTTGGAAAAGACCGGTCGGGTCACTTTTTTCAACAAGCAAGGAAACATCTCGGCTTGTACATTGAGTGACGGGCTGAGGGTTGGCAGCACATGCGATGCTGTGGCTCCAGAAGCTCTTTGGAATCCGACTCTACATTGAAAAAGGTTCGCACTTTGCCAGCCAAGCTTTTCTCTCACAGGAATTGTAACAAGATCTCCGGGAGAAAGAAACTCCAAGCGCCAAGTCTGCTTTTACAGGGCCAATGGGACTGTCAACGGAAATGTGACCGATTTGTGTGGGAATGGAGAGATTCAAACTATTAAAGATCTCTTGGGTCCAACACCGGCCATGATCGGCTGGCAAGCCAGACAGGCCAAGCGATTCGGATGCTTTTGACCCCATAAAAATAGTCATTTGTTATAGATATGTCTGCTCTGGAGTCATTCCTTTACCTTCGTATGGCCTTCATGGTCGTACTTCTTTGATGCTTTGGAAATCCAACTCCGTCCATTTTTGCACACAATCACCAAATGTGATACCCCTTATCAAAATTCCCCGCTGACTCTTTTTTTCACAGCCCTAAATTGAAGGTAAGCCGGAACCGCCACTTGAACTGATTTTGCTTTTGCTTATTTTTTCTTGTAGAAATATTGACTCGCGTGCTCTGATGTTGACCGTGCAAGCTCCTAAGAGCAAATTCAAAGATGAAACTAGAGTTGAGGCAAGGGCTGCAATCAACATGCGCACGAGCATGTTGACCCTCAGGGTTTAGAATGCGATGTCCCGATAGGGTCGACCAGGGTGTGGAATTCAAATTCTGTGCGGTTTGGCAGACCGGCCACAAACCAAAGACCAACCAGATTACGACGAGAGAAAGAAAACGAGACGCATCCGCATCATCGCCTCGAGAATAGTGCTTCTACTCAGAACCATCTCATCATTGTTGAGATGGACGTCTGCGGAAATGGATCCCGATTCCTTAGTAGTCAAAGCCTGCCTGAATTCAAGCTGATTTACCGATTTGACTGCCTTTCAAACAACTTGTGCCAGGTATTCATGGACTGGATGAGTTGACGCATAACCCGCATAATCACATCAGTGCACATGGCGGACGAATATTGACCCGGACTCGACGGCGTGCACGTAGAGATACTATGAACACACACCCGGTCCCATCTGTTCCACATCTTCTACCGGTGTGTCCAATTGACAATAGCAACTTGATGTGGCATCTGTGCCCCAAGGTTCTAAGGCCCCGGGAACCTGAGGACCGGAAGAGGACCATCGGGATCTCATGTGCAGTTGGACTGCGCGAAAGTAGACCATCTACAAGCTGCATCATTATGCGCTGTGGCTATGTAAATTAAGTAGCCATTCGTCTGTTTGAGGTGGTAAGCAAGGTTGATCAAATGATCCATCGGGCAGTGATCAATTTGGTAGCAATAGATCTGCCCTGGCTCCGGGGAGCTTTCGGCTGGACTATTGGGATGTGCAAAAAACTATGTAGGATCTGCAGCTTCATACTACCTTCAGAGAGCAAAGCGCCTAGACAACAAGGGCACAAAACTCAGTTCTTCGGCAAGCTTCACTTAGAAAAGGCACTGATTCATCGCTTTCAAATATACTGCGCAGTAACAGGCCACGTTTTCGGCAATTCAAGACGACCATCACGCCGTGGACATTTTCGGATCAAGAAGTTTGTCTTCTGTGTCGGGAATCTTCTTTAATTTCGAATATTCAAGGATCCGAGTAACTAGTTAGCCACATGAAGTTGTCGGCAGGTCATGTGCGTCTCCGGGTGAATACTATTGCCGAGGCCGCGATCAGCTGACGTCCGCCAACAACAACACTAAACCGCCGACCGGGACCTAGCATGTCACAACTTTCTTAGGGACCCGAATTTATTTATTTTATCTACAAATACATGGCCAGTCCCAATCTCCCAGATTACCAAACTCTCTATCTGCAGGCGGAAGAGAGACGGAGGCAGGCAGAAGAGCGCGAGAAACAGGAAGCAGAAGGGAGGCGACAGGCAGAAGAGCGCGAGAAGCAGGCAGAAGAGCGCGAGAAGCAGGCAGAAGAGCGCGAGAAGCAGGCAGAAGAGCGCGAGAAGCGGGAAGCAGAAGGGAGACGACGGGCAGAAGAGCGCACCCGACAGACCACTTTCACAGAGCTCATTCAGCACTGCCATGTCCTTCTCTCCCGATCACTGAGAGTCAATTCACCATCTCGCTCAACGACTGGAAAAATACCTCTTCCCAAGGGAAAATACTGCCCCACTCGATTGGAACACTGGACCGACTGTCCAAAACAGCTCTCGGAAGTCTACGAGTCCGTGTGCCAACATCTTTGCCCGGAGCGGGGACCTCAGCCTCGTCTGTTTTCGCCTGTAGCTGAAATAGAAGGGCTTAGCCGTCGATTTTCTCGCAGCCCACTAAGCAGCGAGCAAGAGCTTGAGGCCTACGAGCGATTTGGCGTTGAAGAACATGTTCACGATATTATAACCGAGCTTTGCAAACTGCCAGCTGCTCGTGAGGAGTTCCGGCTCGGAGATGGAATCCAGTTCAGCAATCATAAGAATTCCCTGAACGAAAATGAACCCACGGAGGTTGAAGCAAACGAGCTACCCAGCACAAGTCAACCACGGCCTGACCAGTTCTGCATCAACCGTGTCGACGGCAACTCGACCACCATTTTGACGACTGTCGAGTACAAGCCACCTCACAAGCTGCCTTCTGCAACCATGCGCATGGGACTTCGACCAATGGACCTTTGGAAGGATATGGTCCGAGCCAATAAAACATCAACCGACCAGGAAAAAAGGTGAAGCACAACGCAGAGCGGCTTGTTTGCTCCGCCATTTCTCAGGAATACCATGTGATGATTCAAGAAGGACTTGAATATTCATATCTGACAAATGGGCTTACCCGCGTTCTCCTCCGTGTTCCGCTCGACCAGCCTAGCACGCTCTACTACTTTCTCTGTGATCCCCACAGCGAAATGACCCCAGAAAGCGATATTGCTTCCCGACTATGGAAATCCTCTATTGCGAGGGTTCTGTGCCTTTGTTTGATGGCGTTCTGTTCACCTACCCGAGGGCAAGAATGGAGAAACCGAGCGTACCCAGTTCTTCACAAATGGGAAACAAGCTTTGACCACACGCGCTCACAAATCCCAGGAAAAGAGTTGCAGCAGATTCCCCACTCCGACAGCACCCACCCCGAATTTCCGAGTCCAGATACTGGTTCATCCTATTCACTACCATCGTCATCTCCGTTACCAGCTCCCTCAGAGATCCGTCGAATCCCTACACGATCTCAAGCGAGCTGTGCACCTTCGGAGGTTCGACCGCGGTCGCAGTCACCTGGCTCGTCCGGCTCCGACACAAATCAAGCAGCCGGCCATAAGCGGAGGATCAGTCAGGTCACGCCTTCACCGTCCGCTCGGCGGTCAGGTCGCCAGCAAAGCGCAGGACACGGCCAAGACGACCATTCTCAGCGCCGCGCTGCGCAATTCTGCACGCAGCGGTGCTTACTTGGTTTACAGACCAGAAATGATCTGGATGAGCGGTGTCCAAACGTGGATCATCATCGCCGAGGCCAGACCGATCCGACTCAGCATCCGATATCGGCCGAGGACTTGATGCTCTCATTGAAAAGCCAGCTGGACGAAGACATGGATCGTTGCATACCCTTCGGCGATTGCGGCTCGTACGGCGCTCCATTCAAACTTACATGCATGGAATATGGCTACACGGTTATCGGGAAAGGCACCACTGTGGGGTTGTGGAAAGAAGTTTCCCGCGAAGCGGAGGTGTATCGAGTGCTGCACAAGGCCCAAGGATCTGCTGTGCCTGTTTTCTTGGGTACTATTGACTTGGCAAAAATCTATTTTCTTCATGGCGCACAAATCCGCCACATGCTCGTCATGGGCTGGGGCGGTGAGTGTACTGCGACGATGGAGCTGACGCAACAGCTTTGCCGCGAGATGCACAAGTCGAACAAGGAAATCAGAGCTCTTGGGATAATACATGACGACCTGAGGCGAGAAAATGTCCTTTGGAGTGAAGAGCTCGGGCGTGCTTTGATCATCGATTTTCACCGTTCGACTCTGAGATGCCGACCGGCCAAGCAGCGACGGGGTGCCGCAAAACGACGACCGTGTCGAGTGGAGGCAAGAGATGCGAAACGTCTTCGTGTGTCATGAGAGGGAAGGTCTCTTTCGGCCTGTCGAATCTTCGAACATGCTCGTGATACCCAGATTTCAGTTGTTGCCCATTTATCCAGAAGCAAAGTCCACTCCTCTATCTTTGCCCTGGAACGACTGAATTATTCTGCAAGCTGGGTCAATGGGAGGCTGTAATCGACGACGTCCCCTCTATGAAAGCACCTGGAACGCTCATATGATGCCAACTTCTAGGAGGCCATCGGCCAAGATGACAAACGATTTATTGGTTAGCACTGAGCCCGTTTAATAGAATGATCAATTAATCAAAAATCAGTAGATCAATTTTAGGTGTATAATCAAGCTCTGGTTTAATACGGCCGAATATGCTCAGAATACCATCACATAATACAGCCTTGTCGGAAATGCGCCTACGGAATGAAAAATCACGATTCGTTTAGGATATGAAAGTTTTGTGTTGTGAGAAGTACATTATTTGACAGAGAGGGCGGAGAATTTCTGCGACGCCGGTTTTGGTGGTTTTGCACGTAATGCAGCAAGCTATAGAATTGGGATGCACTGTTGTCACCAAATATACAAGCAAACAGCCGTCAGCCTCGGGTAATATTTTGCGGAAAGGTAGCAAGAAGCCAATTGAAAACGTCAAGTCGTCTGCGAATCACGGCCCGAGCAAGCGGGCTGACACCTCGATGGTCAGGTACGTTGATCTGAGCCCGCGGAAATTCTGCAAGACGGCGAATCAGCTGCAAGTTGCAGGTGTTCACTGCGTGCCAGAACGCCGAGCGACCGGCGCAGTCAAGCCATTTGGGCCGAATGTCTTTATGCGATAACAGAGAATCGAGTATCTGGCTGCTATTGGGCTGGTCGCTCCCGTAGATCTTGGCAGCCAGCAGAAGTGCAGTATCGCCTTTCCTGTCTCGAGCATTGATGTCGACATTTTGGTTCGCCAACAGAATTTTGACGGCGGTCACATCATCGTAAATCACGGCTAGGTGGAGAAGAGTATGCCCACTCTTATCTGTGACGTTCCCGTTGGTATGTGGATCGCGTAGGAGCGAGTGTAAAATCTCGTACTGTCGGTATTCTATAGCCACCAAAATTGGTCGTTGGTTGTTCCCATCTGGATCGTTGACGCATACAGGAAACCGCTTCATCAGGTGTCGCACGACGCAGCTCTTGCCCTGTATGATGGCCAAGGTGAGCGCATTTGGGGCCCGGCGAGAGCACGAGGCGAGCACACGGTCGTGCTGCATCAGCCAATCAATCACCTCCAGACTGTCTTTTTCAGTCGTAGACGGGGGTGTGCAGCATAGGCAGTACTCGAAACTCGGAGGGAGGTCATGGTTGTACATGTCCATGCTGAATTTTTGAGCTGGTACACTTTTGACGGACATGATGCTTTGAGCAAGATGCTGGAAAATTGTACAGATGGCTGTAGATGGGGACAGCGTCTGGAACAGAGATGAGGAGGCTGGTAATGGATACGATGATAGCATAGTCCCTCTTTATACCTAGATAATTCTATTTGTATATGCCAGTTTTCAGGAATATCCTCAGCATTCTCGATCATCAGGATCACATTGGCGAAGATGAAGTGACGCGCATTGCTATGAACATTATCTACCTCATGTCCCAAGCCCAAAATGAAGCCGAGAATGAGAAGAAACAGGAAATGATGTCGATCAAAGAATAGCTGTCAAATACTTGCAAAGTGGTTTTAATATAATGGCTCAAGAAACTCTGCCCCCAAGAGTAGCCATCATGGTTGCACTGCGGAATGAAGGACGGAGATAGCGTTGTCAGCTGTCTAGCGCACTACAGCAGTCAATCAAGACCGCTGCCGAACGTAATTCGGTATGCGCGTGAAATCAGCTTCTCTGTCCCTAGGAGACCCCAAATGGATCCCTGAAACCTTAAAAATGGCTTCGGGATCGAGAAGAAGCGTTCCAGGAGTGTTGTCGCTCCTGGGACCAGTATGCGAGGTCCTAGCACGAGTCTTGAGAGCCTGGGACTAGGCTGCGCATGCCATATGACCGTAGCACAACAGACAGTGGCGCGCGCCATCATCGCTAGATATACTCGGGGCATGATGTCCCATCCGTAGCGCGAGTGATGGGCTGAGAGGAGACTGGGCGGCCAGGCCAAGGCTATCAGAGCAAAGGCACATATATCACATAGCGTGTTCGTGCGTTCAGCGACCAAATAATATACCTTCTTGACCTTTGAGAAACGAAGCGTTGCCAAACGGCGAGCAGAGCAGGAATGCAGTCCCCGATCTCTGCAATATTGACAGTCAATGTGGCACAGCTACACTCGCGGGAGACATCTACATGGATGGTAGCTAGGCTACCGCGCGACCAACCTTAACAAGTGAGGGCACGTTGACACACCTACTCAACGAACAACACTCTCACCGACCTTAGTTTTCAACCAGTAACCAACACTGAAAGCAAATTGATGGCAGTTAAAAGCGTATTTCGATGCGGTGAACTGGTGATCTGCTACACATGGGTCACAATTGTTGAAGTGGTGGTCGCTGGTTCAACGTTGGAGCTTGATCAACGTTGTTACAGCAGATATAGACACGAAGAGCCGCTGACAGGGTTGTGGCTCTTGGAAAATGCGTAAATTGGCTCAACAGCCTGTAGTTTTTTGTTGACTACGCCTTCACTCCAGTCAGAAGAAGCTCAACAGACCTTGCTTTGCGCAAGTATCATCAAAGCCCCTCGAAATTGGCAATAGTCTGACAACTCCACGCAGGGGGTAAGTGAGACAGGTGACCACGAGGCAAGTCGAACACTATAAATTCGGTCACTTTTTTTGATATCTGTCAGAAGTAGTTATTCCTACAGTAATATTCGAAATCAGATTTACCTCTACACTCTTCGACTTTAACTCCCGGGTCCTCATTTGAAACACGCTAACCGGATAGGGTATCTGCGTCAATCGCCCTTGTTCCTAGAATAGAAACTGTATTTTACATGACGCGGGTGGGACCTTGTCCTTGTAAATTACAGGAAACCTCTATACATCTGATACCATTCTACCCCTCTTCCCTAAGCAACCAGAATTTCCCCCGGTATATGATTCTTGAGTGACATCCTACACTAGACTTGCAATATGGCCCTGAGACTTCCCCCTCCAAGCTGCATCTCATCTGAGACATGATAGAGAGCCGGCCACTAAACATGTCTTAAATGGCTGAAGAAGCCGAATACAGTGAGGTCACGATAATAATTATTCACCGAAAATTGCGGCATTTCGGCAGCGTATCGCCTTGACCAACAAACACTGACAAACTGTTCCCGGCCCCACCGCCAAGCCCTTAGCCCATATAGTATTATCTATTGAGCACACTGCATTAAACCGAGGGGGTCAGTAAAATGCGTCATGCATGTTACAGTAATCTACGATGCAAGTTTTACATTATGCATTTGAAAAGAAAGTCCATGGAATCCTATGGAACTCTATGGTGTATCCCTGCAAATCACGTGGGGAAAGTCACCTTATGACAAGTCACTTGCTGATCTTCTAGGGAACTTGTACTTTCTCTATCGTGCACGATTTTGTATAAATCTTCAACAATTGCGACCGTAATTTGGAGTACGGCGTAATCAGACGGGCAGTCGATGGGCGGCCACCATTACCCCAAAAAGGGGGGGGGACGATCACATACCAATTAGTGCTAGCATCATGCAGGGGCTGGGCATAAGGAGAGTCCTCATCCTCATTAAACCCTGTTTCTTCACACCATCTGACGCCTTCGCAGGCTTCCCATTCCTAAATCTTTCCACCATCTTGTCTTGTTAATGTGCGGGTCTCATCATGCCCAAGAAAACTTCAGCACCTTCGAGGAAAGCCACGACTGGTAGACATGAAAGCTGGAATGCTCGTTGCCTCGATACATGGCTACTCGAGATAATAGCTGTCTTTTTCAGTGTTGTCTGCTTCATCGCGATGTGCGCTCTCTTGAAAATTTACGCGGACAAGACTCAACCCGACCTACGATATGGCTTAACATTCAATGCAATAATTTCCATACTTGCAGCCGGCTGCAAGTCTTCACTGCTATTTGCGATCGGAGAAGCTCTTAGCCAATCCAAATGGACATGGTTTCGTGGATCACCTCGGTCTCTCCGGGACATGCAGACCTTCGACAGTGCTAGCCGAGGCCCACTTGGCTCACTGATGATGCTGTTCCAGAGAAGAAAATCTTCTGCAAATATTGGAGCTGCAATTATTTTTATGTTGCTTGCTTTCGACCCTTTTGTTCAGCAAATCACGAAATATTCTACTCGAATGGCACCTATAACCGACGGTACTGGCGTTGCATCAACCAAAAGACTCAGTTACTTCAATCCAGAAGCCGCCCCGCCAGAGTTCAATGTAGCCTACGCATCTGGGGTATGGTCCGAAGATAATTTTTTCCAACCATATTGTTCGTCAGGAAACTGTACCTGGCCTACATTTCGTTCTGCAGGCGTTTGCAGTAAGTGTACCGATATGACAAAATCGGTGTCCATGAGCTGCCAGAAATTGCCACGAGATAATGAGACTTTCTGGAGTGACGTGGATGATAGAGACGGGGCCACACATTTCAATGCATCATGCCAAATTATCCCATCAGTGGGAAAGTCTTCAATCTCCTTCTCTACGTTCAACATCCCATACCCCAACACGACCGAGTTCGGCCCAGACACGACCTTTGACCAGAACATAACTTGGCCAGTCTACTCTTGGTATAACAATACGTCTTTTCAAGAAGTCCTTCACGGGAATTTCGATAACTACACGTTTGCGGGGATTCATAATCCTTTGTCTGTCTTCGGTTTTGCGAAACTTGAATATGATGCAAGGTTCTTCAACTCATCCAATCCGTCGAAAGGATTCAAGGTTGAAATGGCGACTGAATGTAGCCTTTCTCTTTGTGTGAGTGATTGGAAAGTCTCTGTTCAAAAGGGGAACACCCAGATCGATACTTCGAACATCGATTATGGCTATTCATTTGTGAAGAATAACGTAACACTCGGTCATGAGGTGAATTGGTTGTGTTGGAGGCCAACTTTCAGCCCACCAAGCATAGCCTTTCAGGATAACTTTGCGATCAGCCCAGTCGACTTTACATACTGTGGAATCAGCGGCGTCACAGAATTGCCTCAAGATATTCTCAAGGGCTCTAGCCCTGTTAGTTATGAATTAGAGAACGGAAAAGGTACGTTCAACTATCAGGTAGGAAACACAGGAGCTGCATCCACTCAGCGCATTTCGAACACCGGTATTGAGCACGTCATGTCTAACATTGCCAACTCCCTGAATAAGATGGTGCTAATACGGGACGGGGAGGATGTCAATGGCACTGCGTATGGCATGGAAGTCTTCATTGTGGTGCAATGGCCCTGGCTCATCTTACCTGGTGTACTGGTGATTTCTGGGGTTTCTTTCTTTTTCCTTGCTCTCATCTCAAACGAGCGGATTGTGCTGTGGAAATCATCCGTTTTCGCCTTCCTATACCATGGTCTAGTCGAGATTGATATAGACAATGGTATAACTGCCAGTGGCATGGAAAAGGAGGCAATAGGCGAATGGGTGCAGCTTCGGGCTTCTTGTGACGACGGTAATTTGAAACTACAAAGAAAAAGCACAAATGCCAGGACCTCATGAATGTCAGCAAACATTTGGAAGACCGAATGCTATCTTTAGATTCCACGATGATTGTGTCTTCTACCCCATGGGGTCGCTGTTATCCGCCAAATACCAACCATTTTGTATGGATTAGGGGTTTTGGGTGCTATACGTTGCTATGTGGTCACGGTGAGTGGTCAAATGGTCACGGGGCTTTACCTATTGCAAAGAGGAACCATGTAAATTAAATCACCCCAATAAAACAGATTTGAATTGCATTCAATCACTGACGGTGGGAACGAGCTCTTTGGGTTCGATGCACTGAATCATATACCGGGGGAAATTCTGGTTGCTTAGGGAAGAGGGGTAGAATGGTATCAGATGTATAGAGGTTTCCTGTAATTTACAAGGACAAGGTCCCACCCGCGTCATGTAAAATACAGTTTCTATTCTAGGAACAAGGGCGATTGACGCAGATACCCTATCCGGTTAGCGTGTTTCAAATGAGGACCCGGGAGTTAAAGTCGAAGAGTGTAGAGGTAAATCTGATTTCGAATATAACTGTACATACTCATTTCGAATGGGTTTTCTCGCTTCGGGATTCGAGGTGTCCTCCTACCGCAGACCCATGATAAATTTTTCACCTATAACTCTACAAGTGCTTCAGATTGCTGACAAGCACGGCGACAACCCCGACCACTGGACCTACTCATCTCTTGTCAGACATGCTGGTTCGCTTTACTTCATTCTGTTCATGTTCGCCAGCCAGACCCTAAGTCCTGGCTAGGTATCCCTTTAGTAAGACTGCAGTACCCTTTGTGCCGAGCCGAGCCGAGCTAATCATTGTATTTTTCACCAGCTTACTAGACCACGAGATTACAAGCAAGGCTTCCTGTACAGGAATGTCCCTTGTCAGCCCAATAAAATTCGAGACTGTCTTCAAACAGCAGATGTTACAACCAGCCTGGTCCGTCTGATTGAACCGATCTAGGTTAGCATGACGAGAATCTGTACCCACTTGCCAGCCGTGGCCAATAGCCATATCACTTGTTGGCCCCAGAACCTGTTAGCCAGCTTTCTATTTGAGTCACAGCCTCGAGCTGGATCGATTTGCTAATTGGAACTTTACAGATGGTGCCACCAGCGCGACCCAGCGAGACCCAGCGAGGCCCCAGCGTCTCAATTTTGTTCGATGTACCCCGCCAGATTCAGACTGCAAAACCAAGGCTATGAAATCATCGTCGTCTCGACCCATGCAAGAATTCGAGCAGAGCCTCAGAACAATACTGCATGCGCATGCTGCCACAGCCGCTGGAGCAGCGAGTTTGTGTGGCTGCTTGTTCGCAGGCAATCAGGTATGTCTACCCTATTGTAATTCAGAGAGATTCATTAATTGTTCTCTTAGGGGGAGACACGAGGCTATATATATATATACTGTGAAGGCATCTACTTGCATCATGTATTTATTCCACGCAGAAAGAACTGGAAGCTTCTTGATCTGCAACAGCCTCATATCACAACATGCCCGAGACTTTTACCCCATTTCCTTTATCGTCAGCTGCGATACCAGCTGAAGACTAAACCTGAAGCAATTATCTGTTGTGTCGAAAATCGCAGGTCGGGGCGATCCCCAAGCACACAATCTGCGTGGTCCGTGTCGTGTCCCGTTCAAGCGAGGCGAAGAGTGGCCAAGGTAAAGGATGGCAAACTGTGAGTAGCTTTCCGCATATCCCCTTTTGTGCTTACATAGGTTGAAGAACTCTGCCAAATGGCACAAGACGTATCAATTCTGCGAGACACCGAGAAACTCCTTGATCGTGTCTAATCGCCACCATGGAACTATGAGGGATTAGATGACCTAAGTGTCTAGTGAAATTGAAATGCCCTGATGACTTTTGGTCATCTTACCCTCAATCGGAGATTCTGTGATGCCCGTTATGAACGCTTTTCATTCCTCCTAAAAGTGAGCTATCTGTCTCTAGGAACCCGAGAATCCCTGTGACTCGGATGATTGGGAGCAATGTTGTTTGGGCGACTTTTTAGCCAGTAGGTGTTGATATTGTAGATACGTACCATGATTGCAGCCAGGTAAATTTAGTCGCGAAGGCATCAACCGTTTAATTGTCGAGATATCCTGCTACCAGATGATCTTTCAAGCCCCGCTAACAAGGAACCACGCCTTCGGATTTGGGGCTCCTCGTAGCAGTCGAAGTGGTAACTTATGTCCTTTTCTGCTGGCTTCTAAATGGACACAACCGAAATGCCAGGGCTGAAAGTGTGCTGCTGCTGCGGAAGAGTGGCTTCACGACTTAGAAACTAATAGTATATCTGATCACTTGGCCGATATCCCTTGGCTGGCATGGCTGTTCCGACAATGGCTGAATGAATTTAATTGGTAAATTCGGGCATGGGACTCACTGAGCCACAAGATCATGATTTCGTGGTATATAGTTTATAAAGGTCCGAAGACGGGCGAAGATTGATACGATGCGGGCATTAATCGCCATCTGGATTTTGATAAACTACACATCTGTAAAACAAAATCTACATGTATATATATCAGAACTCTCACTAAAACACCACTAACACATGCTTCAGTTGAGCCATCACTGACGCCACTATCAACCATATGAGATGATCTAAGGGCCCTGAACCAGGTTAAATGTGGAAGGTAGGGCAAATGCGTTCTCTAGACTAAACAACTCCCATTTAAAACAACATAACATAATATCAATTCATTTCTAAACATGAGCCAGCATCAGTCTACTACAACATTGATAAGATTTCTTCTTGACGTTGCTGCAGTTCCCAATCTACCATGGACCCAATACACAGAGAGGTATGGACTGTAAATCCGAAGGGCGATGGCTTCTTACCAACTGTTTTTTTTACGGTTTTATCAGGAACAATCAGAAATAGTTACGGTCTGGAAAGTAGTCGAGGATGGCTCCATAGTCGATGACGAATAGTCCAGCGTCGTCAAAGCGGAGGAAGACTTATTGGAAGACGACTTGGTGGAAAACGACTTGGTGGAAGACGACTCGGTGGATGACGACTTGGTAGAGTGTATCAAGTCTGAGGTGGTGCAGCGGCTGCCATGCTTGAGTCTATTGTCCAATGTACATGTCGAGCTGTCTCCTTGAAAATTGTAGAAGGTGATCACCCCGGTTTTTTCCACCTTAACCCATGCAGCTGATGAATTGTTTTCCGTGCCGCAAGCCTCCGCGCCCCCCATAGGGTAACCTGGATGAGTGCTGTTGGCGACTTTGTCCAACCCTACAAATCCGTTAGTCTATTTTTCTTGATTTGCATGCTAGGCAGTAACTTACTTGAACAGTCATCTCCATCAAGTTGGCTGAAGAATGCGGAAGACCCTGTGCAGCCATGATTGTCATAGGACCATATCGCGCATTTGTTATCAATATCAATGATCTCAAGAGTGCCACCGAGGGACGCCCGTGCATACACACTCGCGAGGATCACAATGAGAGAGAAACGCATTTTCTTTTTATCCCGGCGAACCTGGTATGTTTGAAGTTTTTTTGCTCTGTCGTGTGCGCTATTTGCTCTTGACTTACGTATCTGGCGTGATCTCGCATGCGTGAAGTCAAGCAAAAGTATGGCGGAAGCAGTGCCTTTTATAGATTTCTATGATCTCCGGCAGATTTCGGATTGCTCGTGGGGGAGGCGAAAGTCGAAGTATGAGTCTCATCTGACCAAAGTTGAGGTGCGTCAGAGACCATGAATTTGCAAGTATGGTCATTTATTGAGGCCGAAAGCCCAGCTCAAAACATACCAACCCAATCGATGCCAGCTTAGACATAGCATCTGGCCAATATGCCGTGCCATGTCTGGGGCTAGAATATGTGGGCAACCAATTTTGAAATGATAAGCTCCTGAATTTTGAGGCTACCTTTCAACATCTCACCAGCTCCCATTTCACCACCCTGTTGAAGTCCTATGACTAAACCTATCCTAATTCTATGTCATTGAGGGTTAAATTTGAGGGCAGGATATACATGGTGGAGTGTTGAGGTGTAGGATGTCTGTAGCCCCACAATAAAGCATATCGATGTCTAGAAGCGTAGTCTTATCTATTGCCCTGCTACATCAGTACTTTCTAATTTATGAGCCTCGGTTTCATGAAGATGCACTCATATGGTGTAAGTAGCCATAAGTCCAGTTTTAGAATATCTGATACGAGAATTCAGAAAGGCAGCAGACCTAGGGGTTCCTGGGGTTCTAGAAGCTGATCTACTTGATCACCCACAAGAGACCGCAGTCATTTTCCGGGACCGGGGATTGATTTTTTGCTAGGTCAAATTCCATCAAACTTGGTGTTTTCAAAGAAATCACAACAGTGATCCACGAAATAGCGTAGCCCGGGGAAATCGTACTTACCTTTCCACCATCACTATCAAGAAACCGGTCACGTTCCTGTTAACGGCTCCATCAGTGCTAGGAGCACTCATCTTGACCCTGGGAGCTGCCTTTCTCCCGAAAGCCTGTGGAACTTTTGAACCGCAAAGAAGGGACCTATAGGAGCTCGTACTTGAGCCTAGAAGCCAGACATCCATACCGGGAAGTCTAGGCCCTTACCATTTATCGGTGACTAGGGGTCATTTGATTTTCATTAAGATCACCACCTAGCTTGATCCGTGAGGAGAATGATTCACATAGTAAGGGTCGGGTAAACAATTCCCGCTTCCCAGGAACCTGAACCGTTCCTTGATTTTTCCCGATACTTCATACCACGCGGGAACCAACATCATCCTGCGTCTGGGGTTCGAATATATATAAGACAATAAAGATCTATCTTCCGTCTCTCGGTCTTCCGTCCAAGTCACCCACCAGATCAACTCCACACGAAACAAATCGTACTCCCGCTCCTTTTAGCCCATTACCCCAATGTGAATATACCCGGCCCCTGATACTGCACAACTTGATACGTGAGTTGATATTAACGTAACCTATAGATGCTTCTCCTCGATCTCCCTCCTGAGATTATTCTTTGCATAGCAGACAAGCTAGATCAAGCGAGAGATTTGCTTATGCTGGCTTGCCTCAATCGAGCAACAAATGCTCTTTTGCTCGACTATTTGTTCAAGTTCAACATCCGACGCCAACGCAGCTCTGCCTTGTTCTGGGGTGTTCTCCAAGGCAAGTCGGAATTTGTGGAAATGATGTTGCACAGCTATCAAGCGGATGCCAATACCACAGACGATAAATCTCGCACACCAATATATTATGCAATTCGCACTAAGAACGAGATCATGATTCGCACGCTTCTTTTTGATAACAAAGCGGATATCAATTGGCAAGACCACCGCAGGCAGACACCACTGGTATACGCCATTGCAAGGAATCGACTGTCTACTGCATCACTTTTACTAGATTTTGATCTAAGTCTGAATACAAGGGATGTCAAGAACCGGACTGCTATTTGGTACGCCATCGCTCGCTGCGATGAGAACCTGGTGCAAGTCCTTCTGGAAAGGGGCAGTGATATACGAACGCCAGATTACAAACAATTTTCACCATTCAGGCTTGCTGTTGCCAAGAAAGCCCCGAGAATTACTCGACTGTTACTTCTCCATTCGGATCCAAATTTACGAATGACCCTGCTGGAGAATGTCACTATCAGAAACCGTCTGCTCTGCCAGGCGATACAGGCAAGCCTTCAAGATTTCGTCGCGCTACTGATTGCCCATGGCGCAGATCCCAATTCTAGAAATAGAGATGGCCGGACCCTGTTGCACCAAGCCACAGAAAATAGCGATAGCGGGATAGTCCAACAATTGCTTGCCTATGAAGAGATCTCCATTAATGCAACGGACAGGCACTCCTGCACCGCTCTCCACATCGCAGCAGAGTATGGATGCACGTCGGTAGCCAAGTGCCTGCTGGACAAATGCGGCTTAGATTCCAACGCAAGAGACACATACGGTCGGAGTGCCCTCCACATCGCAGCAGAATATGGCAAGAAATCGATCATAAGGCTTTTTTTAGCCTATGATGCTGTGGACATCAATGCCCTAGATTTGAATGGAGCCACAGCACTCTGCTTGGCTGCCGACGCAAAACACACGGCTATAGCTCTACAGGTTCTAGCAGAAGATCATGTGGACGTCAACCTGGCCGGTCAAACTAGCAGGACAGCTCTTCATCATGCAGCGAAAACGGGCAACATACCGGTCGCATGTGTCCTTCTCGGCACTGAAAATCTCGATCCCAACGTTCGTGATGACCATGGATGGGCTCCTCTTACCTACGCTGCTTCCAACGGTGATGTACGCATGGTGGAACTCTTACTCGTAAGAGAAGATATACAAGTGAATGTGCAACAGGCCCCTCCACTGTTTCATGCTGCCAAAAAAGGTCATCTGGAAGTTGTACGCCGATTGCTTTCCTGTGATACCATCGACATCAATCAGCAGTTTTGGAACAGCTCGCCTCTCTGTGTTGCCTCTGAGATGGGCCACCCGGAAATTACAATGCTACTCCTTGAACACACAACACCACCCGACATCAATCTGAAAACTTATATGGGAGACACGGCACTTTCCTTGGCCGCTTACCATGGCCATTTGGCTATCATCAATCTCTTGCTGGAAGAAAGTGGACTGAATGTTACCGCTACCGATAAATTTGGGGACACAGCGTTATGCAAAGCAGCTCGGAATGGACACGAACAGGTAGTCAAGCGTCTCTACGGAGACACTCGTGCAAAATGTGCTAGTGATGTGAGAAGGGCGATTGAAGCAGCTTCCAACTGTAGAATTGCGCTCTACCTTGAAGGTCACTTGAATGAGCAAGGCAACTTTTGCACTTGGCCTTGAACCATACACAGGCTGTTCTTGCTTTGTTGGATTTCATTCTTTCAGCGTCCGGCACCATACAACTCTTCTCAAATTGGCTCTACTTGCACCACATTCTCTTGCGGAAGGCAGACTATGCGATGAACGGAAAGATGTCATACTTCAAGCTACAGCTCACCATATATTCCGCGCCATGTATAGTGAAGAAGTTCGGGGCTCTAACAAAAGATGTAGTTTACTCGTATCTCCCCTGAATATAGTTATAAATGCGGTCGATAATATTTCTGTCGCATTCGATTTGTTACTTCTCCATTGTAGTTTGCTTGTACGTTTATCCACCCTACAATGTGCAGACTTGAATCTAACCTTCTGCTCGGTTTACGCTATTGGTAGGTCAGGGTCGTTGCACGGGCGGTAACAGGTTAAAGGTAGAGTGGTATGTCAGACCGCATTCACTGACAGCGAGGTAACCCGCAGGATCTTTTGACGGTAATCTATGATCATGCTCGATAGAATGGAAATCGGTAATCTGAAATAAATTTAGTTTCCCAGTGTCACCTTGATAATAATCTAGAATGCTTACCGGTCCAATCCTCGATGTCATTCATACCATCAGCATAGAGACTAAAGACAACTTTTCTTTTCTCTTCCATTTCTTCGATAGTCAAAAGGCCAAGTTTGACCTGATGTCGGAAGGCTTTGACCTCGCAGGAAGCATATTTGTAGCGTGCCTTCTTATCATCAAGGGCATAAGATGACACATATAGATGCTTGAACATCAACACCGCTTTAGAAATACGATAAACCTCTCTCAACCTTTTCATAAAAGATTGTGGTTCAAAGGACGAGTAATAGTGCTCCGCACGTTTCCAATCTGATTGTTGTTAGCAAGGCGTATTAATTCCACAGGGACATACAAACCATATCTAGCCCGGGGTGGGGAATCTTTGCAACGCATTCTCATAAAATGGTGTGAATTCAGCCAATTTGAGTGTGGTTGTCTGCTTTTTCGCTGGGGTTGGATACGATATATATACTAATGGTGGGACACGCATATATGTATTTGCTATCGATCGAGGTCCACTCACGTTCCTCAACGGTTAGGCTGAGGCACCAAGTGACCTGAACCCGACAAAAGGAAACAGCAAGGGATATCCTCTTGTTCTTCCTGTTGTCTCCTAGGATGCATGCAGTATTTGTGTTGTATAGTTGATTGATACTGAACGTTGAGCATTAAATACCAACACCATTCGAGGCCACCTATATGAAGAATTAAAAAACATTAGGCCATGATGTGACACTATAATCAACAGCACGGCATTCGTTCGTGGCTTGTAAGACTTTCCATTGTAACTATCAAGAAATCAGTCTCGTTCCTAGAGATAGTTTTATCAGCCCTTAAAAAGCACATCTTGGCCCTAGGAGCAAGAAAGCTCCTAGGGGCTTTAGTGCAGTTTCTGGAGGCAAAGAAGCAGCTTCTGGGGGCCACGTAGCCCCCAGGAAACCCGACGTAGCTTCTGGGGTCTAGTACTTTCACCTCGGGGAACCAAAGTCATGTTCCTGTTGACAGTCTCATCACCTCCTGAAACCTCAAGTGCGGTTCCTGGGGCTATGGCTTAGCCTTTCCGGGAGTAGCGAATGACGCAAATTTGTGCGCAGGCCTGGTGAAGGTGTCTTGTGAGGGCTTTCCGTGACCTCAGAAGGCAAAATATTGACTCTAGGATCCGGAAGTAGGGTCTCAGGAGTGCGACAGCTTCCAGATCCAGCCAATGTGTTCCCAAAACCAGTTCGTATTCAATCAGAATCGTATAGTGGAGATCCCAGGGGTAGAACTCAGTTTCCTAGAAACGGGAAATGGCCCCAGGAGCTAAAGACGGGTTCCCAGAGAACAAACAGCCCCCAGAATTGCATTTGGTGTTTCCAGGATCAATGTATTAGTTCCCAGTATCAGATTAACAATGATTGTCGATTAATATGGATGAGCTAGTTTTGTTACGTCGTGAGGCGGTACGGATAGAATCGTCGAGAGTCGTCTGCCGACCCGCCAGCTGTGTTTTCTGCCAACATGGGCCGTCTTCGCGCTCCACAAGGCTCAGCTGAACTCGCTGTCGGCATTACTCTAGCCGCCGCCGTTGGGTATGATGTACAAACAACTTTTATTTACTGGTTCTCGGTTCCGAGCTAAGGCATACTTATCTCAGATGGGAAACTTCCAATAGCATTCTTAGGCTCATCAACATCCAGCACATGCAAATGTGAATCGGTGGCCAAGTGCTCTGTGGGGTTAACGATCAGGATTTAAGGAAGAGCAGTGATAGCTTCAAGAGTCAAATAAGTGGCTAGCAAGCAACAGCGAGAATCTTTCGCCGTTCTATAATGGGCAGACATAAATACTGTACGATAGCAAATAGGCAGACCAGGCCATAGATAATGTTATTTGTGGCAGCAGCAGGTCTAGACAAGTCCCCGCGAAGGCGGTAAGTAAATATTCTCCTTCCTCCGCAGGGCGGTTTTGCGCTCGGCTGAGAACATGGACTCGAAAGAGGGTCTTTTTTTGTGTCGAAACCTTACTTGACGTGCTTAGTGGTCTCGGAGATCAATGTTTGATGATATGTGAGGTCCCTTGGTTTCCCATGCCTCCTCCCCTCCTTGCTTCTCCCTCATTCCTCCCACCATCCATACATCTGCGCTACTCTAATGGTCGGCTCTCGTCTTCTTGAAACGATCCAACCTAAATAAGTGTCAAACGTCGAGATCTCCATGGAGAACTACCGGAAGATTGAGAAAGTCGGCGAAGGTACGGACGATTTTTGACGCGGTTTTTGGTATTGTTGATACGTTCCTGTCAGAACTCAGCTCACGCGTCGATTCGTCTCTAGGCACATACGGTGTCGTCTACAAGGCCCGCGAGCTGAACCATCCTTGCCGTGTTGTCGCTCTGAAAAAAATCAGACTAGAGGCCGAAGATGAGGGTGTTCCTAGCACCACTATCCGCGAGATCTCGCTACTCAAAGAAAATGCAGGACCCGAACATTGTCCAATTGCTGAACATCGTCCATGCCGATAGCCACAGTCTCTATCTGGTCATGGAGTTCCTCGATCTTGATTTGAAGAAATACATGGAAGCTCTACCGGTTAGCGAGGGTGGTCGCGGTAAGCCCCTTCCCGATGAATCTACGTCGATGGCAACCCTGGGGCTGGGCGATGCCATGGTGAAGAAGTTCATGGCCCAGCTGGTTGAGGGTATTCGCTACTGTCATAGTCGCCGTATGCTGCACCGCGATCTCAAGCCCCAGAACTTGCTCATTGACCGGGATGGTAACCTGAAACTCGCCGATTTTGGTCTGGCGAGAGCCTTCGGTGTGCCGCTACGGACTTACACCCATGAGGTAAGCACCGGTATTCTAAGCACGGATTGGTTTTCAGCTCACCGACATTTCTCTATCTCAGGTCGTTACACTGTGGTATCGCTGCCCTGAAATTCTGCTTGGTGGCCGCCAGTATTCTACCGGTGTTGACATGTGGTCCATTGGCGCGATTTTTGCCGAGATGTACACACGCAAGCCGCTATTTCCCGGTGACTCGGAGATCGACGAGATCTTCAAGATCTTCCGGTAGCTTCTTCGTTTCGCTTGGTGATTAACCAATAACTAAATGTGCTTTTCGTTCTTCAGTACCCTCGGCACCCCCGATGAAGCGCTCTGGCCAGATATAACCTCATTCCCCGATTACAAGGCCACTTTCCCCAAATGGAAACGTCCCGATGTCTCGATTGTCCCCGGTCTGGAGCTTGCTGGCCTCGATCTGCTGGAGGCCCTGCTCGAGTACGACCCTGCCCACCGAATTTCGGCGAAGCAGGCCTGCATGCACCCATACTTCCGGAACGGTAGCTCATACTACGCGGGCCGTCTCAGGCGCAACGTGTCAACTTGACACCGTCATTTATACCTTGCAAACTCAGACAGAACAACTGACGCCTCATGAATGTGGGACTGGTCGATGCTCAATTTTAGGTATGGCCTGCATTAGCAGGTGAATTTTGATGTCATTGTTCATCGGTTTCAATAGCTCACTTGGTAAGAAACATGTCTTTATTTGAAACACGACACTTCCTCCGCATCTCCAATTTCTAACAGTTGAAAGGGGTAAAGGCTGGAATAGCTAGAAATCGGTACGAAACAAACGCTAGCCATATTACCTGAAAGAGATCTACAGGTTCCAGATTATTGAGTCGGTGTAGGGCTACGCTTTCACGAGGTTTGCGGGTCGGTGCCTCACAGCTCAGCACAATCAAAACTACAGCGGGGCTGAGAGAAAATAGCTCGCCAGTCCTAGGAATAAGATTCTATAGTTTTCTTTGCTGATTCCACGTTGAGCCGCTCGCGGCTGGAAATAAATGGTCAGAAGAAAAAACATGAGCCTATCATTGCTGATTGAGAAGGCTCATAATGCACCGCGAAGCCTCAATTTAAGAGGGCCGTTATAGATTCCCACTGTTAGCTGAGCCAATGTTTTTAACCGACCCAGCATCACGTTCCGTTAACACGATTTTATCACGTCTCTCTCGGTAGGCGTTTATAATGGCGTCAAGAAGTCGCTGCAGACAGTCGCGGTACAACGAATAAATGAATTTAAACCGGCCTCAATTAGAATTGATGTCCTACAACGCTTGCTACCAAGCACGTAAGTGGACGAAGCCGAGAAATCTATCAATTCGTTCTTTACCCCCGAAAATTTGCTCTAGAGTTGAACCACTTGACTATTCCAAGCCGAGCAAGCCTTGTGTCTGAGCCACTTGATAAGTTGTGCTCCATTAAGCCAAAATGGAAGTTTCCACTGTACATATTTATATACTACCTCATGGACCAGCAAGTCAGGGCCTGTAAGATATCTGATGTTCGCTGGATGCATTGCTATTCATGCAAGCCGATCAAAGATACGAAGCTTGGGTTAGCTGGTCAAGGTGTCTATGCGAATATTTCTGCGCTATGGCGGCCGACTGAGCTGATCTACTGTATAGCCCGGTGGGTGTTCCTAAGGAAAACGCGCGAATATCGTCGTCACATCATGTCGCAGATATAACAGCATTAGCCTGATCTGTTTGGAATCATACTGATCGTCAAGACGATGCGATTTGGTAGAATCGAGAAAGTTCTACCACTGTGCAAGCGCAAGAGCCACCGCTCTACGCCGTCTCTTCGTCTTGGTCTTGGCCACCAGAGCATGTGTCATGGATTATGTCGCCGATCAACCAGCTAATAAATGAAAGTGAACTTTTGACTCGCACTAAAGTGCCCGAGGGACAGTCCTTTACCTTCTTCTTTCCTTGTCCGGTAACCCTACCAGATTGAGTGCGAAAGAGTGGTTGCAGCCATCAAGTACGCTAGTCAGTCGCTCCCGAAGTGATTCAGTGCCTGCTCAAAAAAGCCTAGCCAAATAGCTGTTTGTCGTGGCGAACCTGAAGACCGTCCCTTTCCTTTCTCAGGTGCGTACCAGCCTCCTTTACAACAAGGTGTTCCTGCTCTAGCTTCTCGAAATCGATGTGCTTGGACACGCATGACTCCCATAGGCGTCGATAGAGCCTGACAAGTCGAGCTGCGGGAAAAGTCAACCTGGGATCGTCACGTTCGAGGTCTGCTAGAACCTTCAAGATGGGTTGAAATGGCTCGGTCGCCAGAATATGTCTTGTTTCAGCTTCCTTTTGCAAAGGCGAGGGCTGTAATGGTCGGCAAAAGCGTTTGAAGGCGAATCGTTTTACTTACCAATGGGACATGGTCAG